AGTAGTGCTATTCCATGAAAAGCGGCGTATAGTCTTCAATTAAAAAAATGCGTGTGCCCTAAACGAGAAAACAATGGGCGGAACTATTTGTTTGTTTTGTTTGTCTCATTTTACGCCTTTTTCAACAGTATTTCAGTCATATAGGCGGGTAGTTTCCTAACCATCGTTCCTGGAGAGTTACACCAGTACTAGACAATCTTCCTCCGCGCTAAATTACCAAAGCATCTCCCGGGGATCGAACCCACGCCAGAGAGGTACCTGGATTAGAAGTCATCGACTCTAACCCCTCGACCACGGAGGCGGTAGGGCGGAACTAAATAAAACGGAATTTTGAAAGGGGATCTGAGTTTATGAAGCCTGCATATCACAGATAAGACGTCTAAAGACAATTTAAAAATTGAAGTTGAATTGAAGTTGTACTTATTACTTTATGCCAATGATACAGTTGTTTTTGCGGAAAGTCAAATAGGCCTTCAAACAGCACTTTACTGGATGCTTGAGTATTGGAAATTATGACATTTGACTGTTAACATTGATAAGACAAAAGTTGTTGTATTTTTCTCATGGTAAAATAAGAAATAAGCCTTTATTTTATTTCAATTTTAATACGATCCCGGATCCCGGCTTTTCTGTAGGCGATCCCGGGATTTTCCCGCCACCTGTTTTTCACTGCGTTTTACGTTACAATGCAACAATGACGGCTTACAGACACTTCACCGCCCAGACACTTCACCGCCCAGACACTTCACCCTAGGCCCTTTTTTGCAGACACTTCACCTCTCAGACAGTTTACCCCTCATTTTAAGAAATTTGATTGAGACACTTCACCCCTCATTTTTTTTTTATTTTGTGTTTAACAATTATTTATGTTGACTATGTTAAATACATTCAATAGTGATTGAGAATGTTTAAATATTGTTTTAACCCATTGTCTAATAAATTTTTAGTTGATTTAATTCTTTAAGTTTTGGTACTTAAGTTTGTTTTCAGTTTGATCCTTACCATATAATAATCATTGAGTTACGTTCATTTGGTGATGGTTTGTGCTTTAACTTTGTGCTTAATTTACATAACTGGTGCTATTTATTTTTTTAATAAATGACATTATGAATGATCTTGATAATGTGTCTGATAATGATGATAAATGATTTATATTTACTATATTTTATAAAGCAACCGATTCATCCATCCATATTCATTTATATTCATTTTATTTATTCATTTATTTATTTTTTAAATTTATTTATTAAGAATAAATTAAATTTTCATACAATTATACCATTTTAATTCAATTATCTAATCAGTTGTGAGATAACCGTTGAATAAACAACTAATCAACATGTTGAATAAACAAGGTGCCGTGCAATAAACACTTAATGGATGAAAGTGCTGTGATATATCATTTGGCAATACAACCAATTAACCTAAATCACCTTTTCAAAAACTTAGTAAAAATAAAGGTAATAAGCAAAATTTTTAATCAAATAATACAAAAAATAATAAATATAAACATATATAAGCATTTTGTTGTTTATAGAAAAAAATTGGATGAGGGGTGAAGTGTCTTACTAATTTTGGGGGATGAAGTGTCTTAAGGGGTGAAGTGTCTTCAAAATTTGAGGGGTGAAGTGTCTGGGGATGAGGTGTCTTGCTACCACAGTGACTGCCCTTTAATTCATTAACGCCATTTGTATTTAAAAAAGGTTGATTCCATTAGAAAAGGTAAAAAAGTCTATTATAGATGAGTATAATTATTAGTTTCTTCTTAAATTGTAATGTTTGGTTTGGATAATGTTCTTACTTACCGTTAATTGAATATATGTTCATGGGTATTAAAAATCCTGTTGTTTAAACTACGATGGTGATTTCGGACAATTCCTAACTTCGGATAAACTAAAAGCAAGATCAGGACATTAAAGCAATTCATATAGTTTTCCAATTAACTGCTTTTTATACTTGTTATGTTCAAAAGTGTTCTCGTGCCTTTTGTAAGAATTTTTATGTTATTATTAAATAGATTTTATTTTCATTTAGCTTTTTAGGTGATACTGTAAACATTTTTTTGTATATGAAGATTAGTCCTATATATCAGACGTTACGGTAGGGTTTCTTAATGGGACAAAAATTATAATAGATCATTGAAAATAATGGAGCAACCCTTTTCCATCAATCATCTCTCATATAATCGAAACATTTACAATGTTAGCTGTGTGTGTGCGTGCATGCGTGTACACGAGTGTTTAGTGAACTTAAAGGAATAGGAATGGATGGATTGATGTCTGTCTAATATAAATATTCATCATTTAAAAAGAGGTACCATGACAGTTTTTCTGTTGACATCAACCCTATAAGTGAGAAATTCGTGTTTTAAGACACTATTTTTTACTTGAGAAATAAGTTTATGGGCGCCGCCATTTTGGCATTCTGTCATTCTCGCGAGACAGACGAGACCGATATTGTGACGTGTTACACCCACTTCCGGTATAGGTATACACGCTGGTACAACTAAAATATATCTTGATGAAGAACTTATTTATCTTATTGCATACATTATACATTATTTATGAAAACATCATATGGAACTGAATTGCCTTAATTAATTAATTGAAGACGCCGCGACATTAATTATCATTTGTCCGATTTCCAAGCTTGCTGATATGATCCCACCACATGATTTAAGCAATGACTGCTTAATTTTCAAAGATAAACCATCAATTTAATTTGGGTACTATGAGAAACTTCTTCAAATTAACGATATTTTATCCTTTTATTTTGTACTTAATTTTCGCTAGACAAGCTGTCCGAATAGAGTACATCGCCGGTCATGTATCTTTTTTTTTCAGCGTAAAATATCAACTAAATCCAATATGCAGAGATCTGCTGAGGCCATTGACGCTAAAAGCAGGAAAATCGGCAGTCAGACTTATATCGTATGAAAACAAAACTGTCTGTTAGGTTATTTAGGCACCCAGTCAACTGGTACCAACAGCAACAGGTTGCCCATTCCCCTGTTATTACGCATATTCTCGGGTTTATCCAGTTCCCTATACCTTTTTCCCACGTAATCTACTTACCCAATCCCTTTCCCACACAGATACGCATTTCTACTACCGTAAATTTAATCCAATAAGATAAAAAATAATAATTCTACTTAATATTTAAAATGATTATTGGTGACTGAAAAAAAATGTGTTGCTATTTTATGAAATGCTGTAATTTACAGTATAACTTGACAGGTGCGGAACTTAATTTCCCCTAAGGTCATTCAGTTCACTGATGAAGCGTAAAAAAATAGATTGTCTACTTCGTAAATAGAATATTTGACAAGGGTGATTAACCAATCAGGGCAACATTGTGCATGATCAAAAGGTCTGTCGGCACAGAGGTATAAAAGGAGCAATAAAATTCGTCAGTACACAGTGTGACAGGAACATTTGGTGCAAATTACGAACAATTAAAATGGACAATGCACAGTATTAGACATAAGTAGTAAGAACCAGCAATTGTGTGAATAAATTATGCAAATTAGATTTTTGAGCAGCCAATAAAAATGTTTTGCCTGCAGCACGGATTTATATTACATAAATCCGTGCCTACAGTTAATATTAGGCTACGATTACAAAGTAAATAAATACCACGCAGCATCCTACGTTGACAGACATGTTAACAATTTACTTTTCAAAATAGTTGCTTAAAATAGTTGCTTATATTTTTGAAATGTGTACATCAATTATAACATATGTTCACACCTTTCAATTTGAAAGTCAGAATCAAACTGCAAAAATTTAATTACATGTACTATTATGAACACGTTTTAGAAGGATTTCTATAATAATGATAATTATCGCCGTTCAAAAATCAACAGCCAACTATTCGTTGGTGCGTTTGTTTATTTAATTGCATTATTTGATTGTGAAACTTTGTTAAATATTAACATGTGTATTTATTTAATCTGTGAAATATTGTTTAATTACATTAAGATGAGACTTTAATGAACATATCATTGTTTGGAGTAACGGGCATCACTGGCCTGAAGTGGTGCGACCGGTAGACGTTGATTTTTTATTTGTTTCTTTATTTTTTTTATATTTATTTTCTGATATTGTTACGTATTTTGAACCATAAAAAAATCTCCTCTACACCTCCTGTGAAAATTAAATTGTCTGTCTGGTCAATACTTTATTATATTAATATTTCTCTACGATTCAACTAGATTTATCATAAATCTAAAGATGTGGGGAAATGACATCACGCGCACCTGTTTTAATACGGCCAATACACAAACATGGACGCGCCTACTGATTTGTAGAAATCGGTGATTTAGCGATTTAAATTTTGTTATCATTCGTTAAATATTATTATTTGGCGGCAGAAAACTTGCAGATTTATTATTTATAGTATTTTTTTTCTGAAATCAAGTTTTTATTCTAACCTTGTCTTTCGCTTTAATAAATCTTCTTGTTAAACACCACTAGTCCAAATACAACCAAATTTGTTGGGTGAAGGGCTTCTAAAGTTGTTCAAAGAATTTGAGTCCATGCAGGAATCTGGTTGCCAAGGCAACCAAAAGGACCTACAATGCCTACAGCTTAGATATTTTGCTTACAAGGCATTGACAATTGGACTTGTACCAAGATAGTTCAAATTATAACCCTTGGGTGAAATTTGACCCCACCCTGCGGATCAATGATTTTCATAATGTTCATATAGTAAAAATTAAGAAAATCTTATAATCTGAAGGTACAAGGCTTAAATTCTTTTATCCTTACGTCAATTATTGCACCATGGCCTTTGTATTTTAACATTAGACACATGTGCACAATGTCATTCCTTTGAGATCAAGAAATATGACCTTAACCCTCAAATTCACTTGGCACTTCTACATTAGGGCAAAGTTCAATTGTATTGAAACAAATGAAAATTTACTTTTGTTCTATTAATTTGGCAGCATATTTTTCACAAATACAATCTTGTTTACAATCAAATGTGATATTTTTCAGGAAGCATGAAGAAACAGAAAGGGACGGTCATTGATGGAACTCCAAGAGACAATGGCCCTAAAATAAGAAAATCATGCAAGCAATTTAAACTCAAACATGGGCAGAAAGCTTCAAGTGGTCCAATTGTGAATGAGGAAAAGTCCCCAGTGTTTTATAAATGCACTTATGAAGGGTGTGAAATAAAATTCGCTGATAAATCAAACAGGAAAAAACATGTAGACAGTGTCCATTTGAATATTAGAAATTTTCACTGTGAGTTTTGTGGACATAGTTTCAAAAGATCAAATACCCTGAAGTGTCACATTGAAGCATTACATACGAAGGATGTAGACAAGAAACAATATAAATGTGACGTCTGCGAGAAAACCTTCTTAAGGAAGATTGGTCTGCGTCTTCATCAATCACTGCATACCAACATAAAATCCTTTGTGTGCTCATTTGAAGGGTGTGGAAAAGCATTTAGGTAAAGTAATAGTCCTGGTTTTTGGCTGGGTTGCATAGGTGCAAACCCTGGTTACAGTGTCTATTCTAGGAGGAGCGATGGGGGGGATTCACCCATATTTTTAGCTCAACTTTTTTTTTTTGAAAAAAAAAGTAGAGGTATTGTTATAGTTGGGTCGGCGTTGCTGTTGCCATCCGCAAACTTGTACCTGGATCATAACTTTTTTTTATTTCTTGGTGTATTGTCTTCATACTTGGCCACAACAACCCTTGGGACAAGACCTTTCAGTAGACCACACTTACCTTGACCTTCATCCATAAATGACCTTGACCTTCAAGGTTAAAAGCCCAATTTTTGCTTGTTCATGCTGTTATTGGCTGTAACTTTGTTATTTTTGAATGGATTGTCTTCAAACTTGAACATAATAATCTTCAAGGATATCCCTTAAAAATAACCAGCCAGACCTTGACCTTCACTAATAAATGACCTTGACTTTGAAGGTTGCTGCCATAAACAGTTACACTCGAGTTAGATATTCCGGTCTGTACTGACACCCAGTGTGAGATTCTTATATTCTTGCAGAGAGAATGGTTTAAAGTCATCCAGGAAAACCGGTAAAGTCACTAAAGTGAAGTATAGAGACTGCCTAGACATGACAAAAATGTTGACACTAGAAAATGGGAACTTATGTTTAAGACTAAATAAGCTCCTGCCCCAGATTTTTGTGTGGCCTTGAAAAGGTGACATAAAGGGATTACTTTTGTCATCGTTGTCGGCATCAGCGTCCCCTAAAGCTTGTCCGGAGCATAACTCAGTCACTTTAAGTTGGATTGACTTCAGACTTGGTATGCATGCTTCTTTTAATAACACAAAGTGCAGTGCACAAGGACCGGTACTCTGCACTTCTTAATTTTTGAGTTATTGCCCTTTGTAAATGTTCATACTTAAAGTGCGGGCCATTTCTCTTCAACTATAAAAGCTATGGACTTCAAAATTCATACAATGATAGATCTCATTAAGAAGAAGTGCATTGCACAAGAATTGGTACTCTGCACTTCCTAATTTTTTAGTTATTTCCCTTTGTTAATTTCATACTTTATTTTTGTCCGGGCCATTTCTTCTAATGTATAAAAGCTATGGACTTAAAACTTCATAGGATGATAGATCTCATTAAGAAGAAGTGCATTGCACAAGAACAAGTACTCTGCATTTCTTTTTTCTTGAGTTATTGCCCTTTATTAATTTTCATACTTTATTTTTGTCCAGGCCATTTCTCCGAAAGTATAAAAGCTTTGGACTTGAAACTTCATAGGATGATAGATCTCATTAAGAAGAAGTGCAGTGCCCAAGAACCGATACTCTGCATTTCTTATTTTTTGAGTTATTGACCTTTGTTAATTTTCATACTTTATTTTTGTCCAGGTCATTTCTCCTCAAGTATGAAAGCTGTACACATGAAACTTCATAGGATGATAGATCTCATTAAAAATAATTGCAAGGTACAAGGACTGGTACTCTGCATTTCTTATTTTTGAGTTTTCACCCTTTATATATTTTCATACTTTATTTTTGTCCAGGCCATTTCTCATAAATTTTAAAAGATATGGACTTGAAACTTCATAGAATGATAGATCTTATTGATAAGAAGTGGTGCAGTGCATAGAAACTGCTGCTCTGCACTTATTATTTTTGAGTTATTGCCCTTTGTTAGTTTTCGTATTTCATTTTTGTCCTGGCCATTTCTCCTTAACTATATTGTTCACAAGGCGACACATCCGACTCTCGGAGTTCTAGTTGTTAATATCAAATCTGGCAAAAGGTTTTAAAATAAGTAATACAATAAGATAAAAATGGGTGTTTTCTCAAGACAAAAATGTTATCATATTTAAATGATACAATTTTTAAAGAGCCTTTACCTTTTATTCTTGTCAGAAAAAATGTAAAAAATATATCTTAATCACCAGTAACTTTGACTCTTAAGCAAGTAATCTAAAACTGTACTCTAAAACAAATAGATAAGTGAGTACTACCAAATATGAAAGCCATCAGTCAGTAAATAAAGGCTCTACAAGCAAAAGTGAAAAATTCTTATTCTTTAATTGCGCATATTAGCTGCATGTTCCATTTTATTGACTTTTTCCCAAATCATGCTCTTTTGATGCTTTTTCAATTGAATTTTTTGTCCACTGGTTTGTAACTGTGTCCATGACAGAAAGATTAACAAAACGAAAACTAGAGAAATTTATGGCCGTGTAGGCTTTGGAATGGAGAAATGGTCATGATTTGAAGATGGCCCTAATTTATAAAAGGTCAGTACATCAAAAATGACCTTTAAAATGTCAATAAGTCAAAGGTCAAGATCGCTGTGACCATTAAACACTCCTGCCTGCAGACCAAAGATTGAAGGTTGGACATGAAGTGAATGTCATCACAAACAGTTAAGAAGTCTACGAATCTCAACTTATTGTTTGCAATTACAAGGACATACATATTTCACAAATAGTTCATTTTGAATCTCTTTACTTTTTGTAGACTCCAGACGACCTTTGCAAAGCATGAAAAAAGACATTTACTCCTTGACAAGAAACCTTATCAATGTCGATTTTGTAAAGAGAAATTTAGCAGGAAAGCATACCTGGATAGCCATATGTATAAACACACAGGTAAGTTTTTATATAAACCAATAGACAAGAGTTTTGGATTGATCAATTTTCAACAAAATTGCCCTTATGGTAAGCTATGGTAGATATTTCTTTACTAAAATATTCAGAAAACAGCAACAGCTTCAGGTATGTTATTGGATAGACCAGCCTTAAAACTTCTTGAACCATATACATGTATGGTTTTGGACAAATCAGCATGAAAACTTACCTGGGACCTCTCAGATAGCTTTAATACTTACCTTAACTTTACAGCTATGATCTTTGAGAAAGTTTGAGAATAATAACTCATGATTTGTAAAGGAAGTTGAAGGTTGACTATAAAAGTAATTCATTTATAGAATCATCCCTACCAATTTCACTTTTCTTTAAATGGAAGGCTGATGTGATGAAAGTAATTATATGAAGCCCCTAAGGTGACATTCTCGACACTTTTCCCCTAGCATTTGCTTCGTTTTTATGAAATATTAATTCATATTTACGAAATATCAATTCATAGTTACGAACTATTTATTTGTATTTATGAAATATTAATTCTTTTGTACGAAATATTATTTCGTAATTACGAAATATTATATCATAATTGTGAAACATTAATTCGTTTTTTATGAAATAATAATTCGTTTTTACGAAATATTAATTTGTAATTACGAAATATTAATTCGTTTTTACAAAATCTTATTTAAGGTCATTGTGAGCTAGACAAAGAACCTACTTATCTCACAAATGAGTCATTAACAAGCCTTGATCAACCTTGCGATTATAAGCCGAATGATTCTCAAGTTATTATATTTAAGTGAACATGGTTTTTTGAGTGAGAAGTCATTCTCTATCCAAAAAGGTCTCTTTTGACGGGCAATTATATAAATGTATAACCAAGAGTGTTAAGTTAAAAAATTGGGGAAAAATCACTATTTATATTGCATTTACATGCCTTATATTCAGTCAGGAACTTAGTTTTGAGGCCTTATTTATAACTATTACCAAAACTCTTTGAAACCCTAGAAAAAAAATTAATTCTTTTTTACGAAATATTATTTTGTATTTATTTTTTATGATTTTTCTGTAATTACGAAAGATAACATTTCATTTTAACAAATTAATATTTCGTAATAACGAAATAATATTTTTTAATTACAAATTATTATTTCGTAAAAACGAATTAATATTTCGTAGTTAAGAATTAAAATATCGTTTTTACGAATTAATTTTTTGTAATTTGAATTAATGTTTCGTTATTACGAAATGATATTATATATTAATATTTCAAACATAATTGATATTTCTTTATTATGAATTTAAATTTTGTAAAAACGAATTAATATTTGGTTATTACGAATAAATATTTCATAAAAACAAATTATTATTTCGTAGTAAGGAATTGCTCATTGCTTGTTTGTTTAATTTTGGTCTTAACAAATCGCAAATGTATTGATGAAACGATACATTTTTAAATAATTCAAAAAGTTATTTATGTAACAAAAGAATGTTTAAAAATATGTGTGATCAGGTTCTTTATCAAACTAACAGGGTATATTTCAAACAATTATATAAAAGATAAAGGTATTAAACAACTGAATAAAATACAATAGCGGCATATTTTTAACATGTACTTGCTTAATTAATGATATAATTCAGTTCAAGAAATTCTATTTTCACGCAAAAAATCTTCTTGACACAGAATTTTAGTGACACATAAATATCCACTTACTAGTATGCAGTATACATGTGTATTTAAAACTCTTTTTACAATGTTTGTTACTTCACAACATGTCAGACGTTAAAGTCTTGGATATATCAATAATTTATTATAAAGCTCTTTATACACAACATCCGATGTAGGTAAATGACTGAATAAATCAAAACTTTAACCTACTTTAATTAAGCTTTTGAATCAAAGTTTTGAAAATTAGGATTTGATTTGAACTGAGGTGATATAATTATAATGTAAACAAATTAGTATAGGTCCTCTCATTTTATAACTTTTTATAAATTTTAGGTATGAAGAATTACAGATGTGAAATTTGTGAAAAAACTTTCTCACAGAAAGGCAATTTGGCCACCCACAAGCTGCTTCATAGTCAGGATCGCCCTGTTTACAAATGTCCACAATGTCCTCGAACATTTACTTTCAAGTCTAACATGAAGAAACATCTTCAAAAACATGAAATAAAGGAACAATGTGTTAACT